GTTACTAGGGTAATACAGGCGCCCAAATGAAACCCAGAGACATCTACATTGTTGGAAGCGTATGGTATAGTGTAAGTGCATAAGTCAACAAATTATATATGTCTAGTCGTGTTTTGACATTCTAATGCGGACATGTTACGTATTATATCTTCAATATAAAAATATTGACTGGTGCAGCTTTCAAGTATCTTCATTTCGACCCAGAGCCTGATACAATATACAGGGTAATAGTATCTGTACCATATGAATATACAAGAGGCTTTTTGCTCCCCTGCTCGTTTCATTTGAACTGTAATCATACTTTATACATAACAGGTTTTTCTTACAGGGGACATACACACAGTGTCGTTCTCCATTAGCTTCTCTCAGAGTGTAAACAGCTGATCATGTGCTGGTTGTCATTCAAAGATGCAGCCCGCCTGCTCTCACGATTTGGTTTGGTTCACGGAGATTATGCTCTGGTCACTGTGGGATGGCGTGTGGGCAGGGTAGGAACATCTGGAACTGAAATGAAGCTTGGACACTAACTGTCAATAAGCCAACCACAATCTGCCTGCCAGTAAAAATAGGATGGATATTCATTAGATCTACTAGCTCTGGGAAACACGCACATACACACAAAAGAGAAAGGCCGGGGAAAGAGAGAGGGAAATAGAGGGTGTTCACTATGTTTCACAAGTTTCCTTAATTTTACAGATTTCCTCCAGAGGAAATAAATTCACATTTCTGCCAAATATGTGAGGACACTTTTGTGCTGTTGCAGTGCAAATTAGTACAACCTCACATAACCCCCTCCATTGGTTATCAGTCATCATGTGTATGACAAACAGCTTTAGTATGTTGTCATTGGTCTCCTGCTGCCTGTCTGCTTCTCACAGGGGAGCATAGATACCCCATGAGGCAGTGCCCTCCACCCATCTAATAACCCCACAATGCTCGCCAATGACTCAGCTTAGACGACAACACCTCACTGAACCTAATTAATGACAATGATTAGTCCAAATACATCTAGTGTTGTAGTTTAGTCACCAGACATTGTTTCCAAGTCCTAAATCCTCAGTATTTAAAGCAGCCTTCTAGTCCAAGAAACCAGAGAGAAAGTAAACCATGCTGCTAGTAAGATTAGCAAAAGAGCATAAAGAGCGTTTGTTACATTTAAAGGAACAGTGTGTAAGATTTAGGGGGATTTGGTGGCGTCTCACAGTGAACTGCAGATAACCAGCTAAAACTTGTCTGGGCTATAATTCCTTAAGTAGTCATTGTTCAGGGTTTTTTTTACCATGAGCCGAATTCTCCGCAGACGTCTCTTCTTTTCCAGAACAAACAGGCAAGGTGATTAAAACAGTAAAAACCCTGAATAAAGCAGTTGCACACCACAAATTCTGCTGTTTGGCATCTTGGTTAGCAACATGCCAGAGTGTGTGCTCCCCTTTTTCTGATCCAGATGTTCAAGAGCCTTTTTTTACCATGTGTAATGGGTGGAGTTTGGACCCAAAAGCAACACCAGGGACAGGCGGAACAGTTTATACTGAACTTTAATACACAACTTCAATAAATACAGGGAATGTAGACTGGTGAGGCAACAGAGAGAGTCAATGTTCAGTTTCACAGTCCACAGGGGAATAGGATCTGTCTGCAGCTCTCCGCGTCGAATGCTGTAGCAGCATGCAGATGAGGTGCTGGCGTCCGCCGGGTGCACACACACAGCAGACAGTTCAATGGCGTGTGATGGTAACAAGAGGGGGTAGGCAGAAGAGCTGAGATTCGAACACCAGGAGTACTCACTGAGAACGCAAAGCCAGGCAAAGAGAGCTTGACAGCGGACTACGTGGAATCTGTGGCGCACACTCAAAGGCGAGGCATATTGCTGCACGATGAGGCAATCCACAGCTCAAAAGATCACAGGTGACTGAGCCGGTAAACTCACTTTGGAAAGCTGGGTGACGGTCTTTCCAGACAGCCGCAGGAAGCAGGCAAACAGACGAACAGGAACCAGGAAGGCAGAAGCAAAGCTTGTGGTCGAATACAGAAGGCAGAGTGGTTTGCCAGGAAGCAGACGAAGCAGGAGAGTCAGAGATGGGCGGGGCCGATACTATGGAAGCAGTCCTGAAACAAACGCTGGGTAGTCTTGCATGAGGCGAAGAATAATCTGGCAAGGAGTATCTGTGAAGCGAAGGATAATGACCCACAGGTAAGCGGCGTTAGCCTAACGAGGTGGGTGTGGTGGCCGGGCAGGCCAGGAAATGTGTGGCTGGCAGGTAGGTGTGGTGATGAGGTGGGGTGAATGGAAAATTACTGAATGAGCTGGGATGATGGCAGCTATGGAGGATGAAAAGTGCCCACTGTGACACCGTGAGCCGAATTATCCACAGAGGTCTCGTCCTCGCTAAAACAAACAGACCAGGTGATCAAAACAGTAACAACACTGAATAAAGCAGTTTCACATTACAAACCAGTGTAAGTCAGACACTACTAACTACGGTGGCTGACGTGAAAACACAAATGGCCCTATCTGGAGCTTTTGGTGTGTCCCTTCTGGGCTACTGTAGAAACATGGTGGATGCTGTGGACAAGGACCTGCTCCCTATGTAGATATTAATGGCTCATTCCAAGCTAACTAAAACACAGTTCTTGTTTTCAGGTGATTATACACTAAGAAAAGATACTCATTATATTCCATTTTTTGCCAAATATCCTCCTAGATCCTGCACACTGGACCTCTAATTCAACATTTAAGTCCAAGAAACCATCCACAGAGAAAGCAATCCATGCTTGAAATAGGATAAAAGCATTAAGAGCTTTTGTTACATTTTAGCTAATACTTAGAGGCTTGGTTATAGTTTGTGGGAAAAGCCCAAGCCCTAACATCAGCATGCCAACATGTTTACTCCCTAAGTTCTTCAAGGTCTGATCCATCTCAAATCCACTTGAGTTCTGAGTACTGGAACATCACTTCAGGGCATATCAACCCAGGCTTGTTAAATCCCCCATAAAACACACTACAATACTTTGCAGGAGATGGGTGGGTCAAACACTGGCACATACAAACATTCAAAAGAGATAATTTTGAGGAATGTCTCACTTGCTGAATTCGGTTTAAATCTGCATTTTGGCACGGATTACTTTATCTCTGACTCTTTCCCCTTGCATACCTCATCTGGTAATTTTTACAGGCTTATAAAATGATGTACACCTGCACATTGAAAAGACAAGTAGTGTTTTTCAAATACCTCTGTGACCTGCAATGGGTCTGCAGCAGTAATTTATTGTGCATCAACTAGTTTAATGGATGATCTGACTCTCTTGTGTGGTTTTGTGGGTGTTTTTCAGGGTGGATCCTGTTCTGGATCGCATGTCTCTTTCCTATAAATAAAGCTTGTCTCAAGAGGTTCTGTACTACCACACAACATGCACACACACACACACACACGCATGTCTTTGTCCACACACATAATCTGTTAGTTCGTAATTAATCAGCCAGAGTGTGTGGAGCAGTTAATTGTGCATCTGTTTTGGCACAAAGACCTTCAAAAATGCCTCCATGAGCTCATTATAAAAGAGTTCTGCTTTCACAGGGATCTGGGACCGCAGCCAGAAGAATATTGTCATGATCCTGCAACACATTTATCATCTATAGAAACTCCCCCACTGTATGAACCCGTCCTCTCGTATCAAAGCCACATACCTTCTTTCATCCTCATCTTGTTTTGTTTTCCTCACTTTTCTCTTTGCTCCAATTTGTTTTCAACCTCCGATGGCTTGTGAAGGAACACACAGTGATTTACAATGATTTGTTTTTGTTTTTCACTCCTTCTGTCCTCGCAGTCCACACAAACTTGAGGCCCTGTTGGGGCCCTCTTGCTTTTCATCTCTCTGTAAGTAATGTACTTCTCTGTATGTACTGTAGCATAAAAAGCTTCCCTCATCTCTTCTCAGGGTCAGATATGGGACAGCTGCCCTTTAAAGTATGTCATGTCCAAGGACAAATCCATTCACCACAGAAAGTCCCTTTACTTTGTTTGCTCCTGTACTGCATAAATGAATACCTTACATTTTCTAAGTTTAACCATCTCAGAGTCTGAAAAAACTTTTCTAAGTTAAAACTGGGGTAGGCAGAGATTTGGAAAAGAAAAAAAAAAGGGTAGAATTTGAAAGTACACCCTCTTACTGCAGCTCTCCCCACTCTGTCCTAAGCCCCTCCCACAGACAAACACAGGCATATGCACATACTTCATACAGTAACCCAGTGGTTCCCATACATTGATTTATTAAATTTTATTTCATTGTACAGTCGCACTCGGTTCAACTCAGCTGCTTGCCCTGCTCTCTCTCTTTATCAAACCATAAATGACACAAGAATTTGCTAACGTTAGCCACCCCACCGTCTCTCCACCTTGCTCCCGCTGCTGTGGACTACTTTCCCAGGAGGAGAGCAGGCAGCAGCTCTGCAGAGAGACCTTCAAATTCGTCCAGCGCAAACCCCTCAGCGCCGGGTGTCACAGCGGTCTGGTGGCCAGCAGCAGCTCCGGGTCTAATCTGTTTAACAGCAGCAACAGAAAGTTCGCTGATCTGGCAGGGAGTCGTGACTGGCCAGGTTTGCGCTGGCTGGATCCAGGTAGCTGCGGCCACTGACTGGGGGTCTGGCTGCTGAGCGGCTGCCTGCTCATCTCCTGGTGAATAGTTCTGTAGCGGTGGGGAGTGAGGCGTAGGAAACACTGTGATTCCAGGCTCTTGCTAATGTTAGCTACACAAATGTGAACTTAAAGCTGCAGCCAAGAGCCTTTAGCAACATCTTTTCTTCATCTGTGATGTATTTGCTAAGCCTGAGAAAAAAGTAAAATAGCTACTGTGAACCGACCGAAACAATTTAATTCAGCAAAGTGATTCATAATCTCAACACGAGCCTTTGGACAAACTATGCATCCTCGTGTATTTGTGTTTCATCATCAAGAAACACCTGTGTGTGTGTGTGACTGTGTAAGACGGCTGATAAAGTGAGAGAAATTCGCAATGATTTTATTGACTGAATATGTTATGGGTTAATATTGTAACATGTAGTCTTGTGATATATAATTACCAAACACAACTATATTCTAGGAAAAATAAAAGTACAACAAACTCTGAAGACTGATTTAAGAACGGAGCAATACTAAATCTCACATTAAAACAGAGGAGCGTGCATGCTGAACAACAAAACACACAAGTATCAGTCGCTTCACATATCCTTGACTCATCATAATCTTTAGTGACCATCACATAACGAGTTGTAAGGGTAGAGGTCTTGTTTAGGCTGTGAGGTATTGTTGTTTAAGTGCTGCTGCAGGCTACACTGTTTGTCAGATCATGAACTGTGAGCCAGAGAGGTAATGAGACTCTTTCCAGATGTTGGTCTCTCCACAGTTGGTGGTCCTCCTCTGACACTGGCAGCAGCGCTTGTACTGTGCAAGCTTATCTACCAGGAGCTGACCAGCAGACCTGACCACAGGGAGGCAGAACAAACCACAGGGAGACAGAATGAATGATCAGGAAAACATGTTGTCCTACATGGATGATGTTGGCCATTATGTGTCTTCTAGGTCAGTCAGTAAGTGCGTGTGTGAATGGTTAACCAACTTATAACTGTACAAATATATGTAAGTGAACGGATGAATGCTGATGGAGCCTCAAAGTGATCCTACATCCACACACCTCAGGAAGCGTCGCTCCTCTTCCTCTTGTTGGTGCTTGAGCTTCGCACTGCGACACCACTCATCCTCTAGCGACTTACTGATGTCCCGCCTCTTCTCAAAGCGATTAATGCGGTCCATTATCAGCCTGGACAGGAAACATACCAGAGAGATGGACAACCCACCATAGTTTCCACATCCTCATTGTTTTCCGTTTCTTTCATTTCCCATCTTCCTTTACTCACTCCATTTTGTTGTGTTTGAGAATTTCTCTTTCTTTCTCCAGCTGTTGTTGCCGGTTTTGCAGTTCTTCCTTCTTTCTCTGAGTGGCAGCGCTGAAATTTAACTGGAAGAGCTGCAAATAGGTAGAATAACATCACATCAACTTCAGTCACAAAATACTGCAGTTAGGCCCAGGGCATAAATATAGACAGTGCAACCAGTGCTGTTGCAAACTAATAAACTCAGATGCATTTTTAAAGTTAGTATATAAAATAGAATTAGCTATTGTAAACCTCAACCAGCTGCAACAGGAAACTTCCGCTTGCATGTTAATGCATCAATCAATGATATTAATCCAATCACATATACTAACAGAACATTATTTTTACACCACTGTAACGTAAGTAAAGGATCTAAGTACATCTTACACTGCAAATAACAAAAACTGTGCCGAGATAGTAGTAAAATTAAACAACTCTTCCATTTGCATGAAGCCACAAGAGAAAAGCAAGGTTAATGGCAGCATTAAGAAACAGGTGACCTTCTGTGCCCTCTCTCGTCTCTCTACATTGCTGGCTGCTGTCTCACAGCGGTTGAACCCGCAGTTGTCAGCCTGGCACTCTGGTGGGTGTGTACACTTCTTATCTCCCACCTAAAAGGGCAGAAGAGACTTGATCGACTTACAGTTTCAATTGTAAGATTACCATAATGCAGATAAAACAGCCCACTGGACAAGATGTAGTCTGGTGATGGGTGCTTTCTGGCCCACAATGTCAAAACAAAGCCAGATGAAAATACTGTTGCTGGCCTCCTTTGTTGATATCCCAAAAATTATTGAGACAAATTCTGTAGACCAGGTTCTCCATTAACTTTTTTACTTTTGTTTTGAAGCCAAAGTGACCACAACACAAAAGAACAGCTGTGCAACCATTAAGTCTATGTCCTTGTCAAAACCTGGTGCCTACATTATCCCCAATGCAACTTGACTGCCAACAGTTTGGTCTGAGATTCAGGTGTGTTAGTCCAGTAGATGTAGACTTCAGTAGAGATGAGGAGTGGGCTACAGAGGTCTGTTTTCCCCCCAGACTTGTAGTCCTCAGAGTCAACCAGCGCCGACTCAAGTAACATCACTTATACTGTGGTCTGGGTAAATACTTGGTCCTGATTGGCTGAAGGGTGACCATTAATTCCTAATACAGGACACCAACTGAGAAGCTTGTATCTGCAACCTCATTCTTTTGGTCACTACCCAGAGCTCATGACCATAGGTGAGGGCTGGGACGTAAATGGACCAGTAAATCGAAAGCTCCGCCTTCTAGCTCAGCTCCCTCTTCACCACGATGGTTCAGCGCAGCGCCCGCATCACTGCAAAAGCTGCACCAAACCATTGATCCATCTCACACTCCATTCTACCTTCATTCATGAACAAGACCCCGAGATACTTGAATTCTCTCACTTGAAAGGACCAGTTTCTGGCAGAGAACCATGGCCATCAGCGATCATCTCATATCCCATTTGCTGATTAATTTGCGGCCAGTTATACATTGATTATCATCTGTACATGAAAATCTTGATATTGAATGGGGGATAATGACATGGCTGAATAGCTTGTCTTGTATTAAAACCTACTGTCAAAATATATTTACTGTTTGTCAACTGTACGCAATGTTATTGACTGAATCTTGCTACTAACGTTCTTTCTGGCTAATAGCTGAGCCAAACGGTTCTTTGAGTTGAGCAGATTAGACATATCTCCCGTTGCAAAGTCGTATCTAAGGTTCATCCTATTTTGATGAATGTTTTGATTACACGAGAACTTCATGGGATGGTCATGATTAGTCAAACCCTCAGGTGTTACCTGGGAAACTGAGTTATGACTTGTGAAAAACTTTTAATTTTGATTGCAAAACACACAAAAATATAAATAAATGGTTCTGGCCTCCTCATCATCCACTAAATTCCTGATAGTAGACACTGTCAATTTATCAGACTTCATGCAGCTCCCCCAGGAGCCACAAAAGGCTTTATACACCTTTTTTCACATATGGAGTGGTCCTCCCCAAGACTTGTAAGCAGACTTTATGGGATAAAATCTGTGGACTTCCCCTTTGACGAAATTATGTAATGTGTGCTTCTTTGTTTACAAAAACTGGAATGATTTTGATTTGAAGTTGCAAAGAAGATTCTCTCACACTTGTTACATAAATCCAGTAATTGAATAATCAATTTTTTTTGCTGTTGCTGTTGTTCAGAGAATGTAAGTTAGCAGAACTGGTTTATTTAAGTTTAATGACATGATATAACTCTGACTCCTTCTTATATTTCCATAAACCACATAACTATGTCCAGTTTAACAAGTTTTTATTGTGTTATGTTTGTCTGTGCAGCCTTCCTGCACTGGTGCCCTTGCCTGGCAGGATGGGCAGCAGCTTTACTCTGCTGCCTTCCTTTGACCTACAACCTTCCTCATGAGAAACACAAAAACAGCTGGCCATCCATAATCTCATGTTACAGCTGAGATTCTTCAGAAATCAGAGAGGAATACAGAAAGGGACAAAAGCATTTCTGTAAAAGATTTCAATTCACCTAAAATATATTTTTGTATCCTATTAACACCACAGCTGTTTGGTTGACCAGAAAAAAATAACCTTGTAATGAAAACTAGTGACCATGTATTCTCCATAACTGGCTGCAAATGTCAGTAAATTTGAGAACATTTATAATCTTATGTTCATTTCATGAGCTCAAATCTCTCAAACTCTTTCTTACCTGCGTGTCCAGAGCCTTTTTGTAATTTGTAGTTTTCTCATGTTTCTGCTGGAGCTGCTGAGCTCTCTGCAAAGCTACCCTAAAATGCAAACATAGAAACACCTGGTGACACAGTAGTTAACACAACAGATGATGATCTCACATGCCTGAGGGGTTACAGACTCACTCCTGGACCAGCTGGACCTGGTCTAGACGCTCCATGAGTAGACGGTTCTGCTGGTCTTGAGCCTCGTGTCGCCGCCGAGTCTCTATCTGTCTCTGAAGCTCGTCCATGTAACGATGCTGCTGGATCCTTCTGGCAGGAGTGAGGGGCCGAGCCGGGAAGACGAATGAAGTCTAAACACAAGCATCCCAGAGAACACTTTGATGCTGTTGCTTCACATTTAACGTGTTTAAAGGGATAGTGCACCCAAAAATGAAAATTCAGCCATTATCTACTCACCCTCATGCTGAGGAACGCTCTGGTGAAGTTTTCCTCCGAGAGTCCTCACATTCCTTGCGGAGATCGGCGGGGGGAGCGGCTAGCACACCTAATGGCAGACGGCGCCCCAGACTAATGTCCAAGAACACAAAATTGAATCCACTTATTATTTCTATTTTGCTCATCCGTAGTGATCCAAGTGTTCTGTAGCTTCTACATAATAAGTTGTTTAGAAAAACGTCATATGAACTCTGTTTTTAGCCTCACTGTAGCCTGTAGCTCTGACTGCTTCTCTGTGCTCCGCGCTCACGTGTGCGCACTCAGGGTGATCGGTGATGCACGGTCTCTGAAGAGCAGCAGTCTCGTCAGTACTGATGTCCAGATTCTCAAGTGCAGGCATTGCCAATTCCCAGTCTGAGCAGCAAAGACTTTCCTCATCCATTGGCATTGCTTTGCATTTGAAACAACTACACCACCAGGTTTCCAGTGCTCGACTCCGGTATTCTGCGGCTGTCTGAGGGTTAGGCTCATGATCTGCGGCGGCTGCTTTGTCCAGTAGCCTGAGTTCTTCGTCCGTATACTCTGGCTTAAACAAATACTGTTCAACAAAGAAATGCTGTTCCTCCTCAATTTCATAGTCTTCAGACATGTTGGGCTGTCCTTTGCTAAAAGACCGTAGTGCAAATTATCTTTTAGCTCTGTGGTTACTGTTGTCTCCCCCTGCTGTGCACTTGTCACGTGATGTAAACACGGGTAAGCAAAGCTCATGCTTTCGCTGGTCTCGCGCAAGCGCGCACACGTGAACATGGAGCACAGAGAAGCAGTCAGAGCTACAGGCTACAGTGAGGCTAAAAACAGAGTTCATATGACTTTTTTCGAAACAACTTTTTATGTCAGGGCTGCAGCACACTTGGATCACTACGGATGGGCATGTTGGTGATATTTGTGGATTCAATTTTGTGTTCTTGGACGTTAGTCTGGGGCGCCATCTGCCATTAGGTGTGCTAGCTGCTCCCCCCGCTGATCTCCGCAAGGGATGTAAGGACTCTGAAACTTCACCAGAGCCTTCCTCAGCATTGAGGGTGAGTAGATAATGGCTGAATTTTCATTTTTGGGTGCACTATCCCTTTAAATGAAGCTCTAGCAAAAGTTCAGTCAGGGAGACAATGCTTTTCATGCTCAGGCTGGTCATTTCTATCTCACCCTGTCTTTCACGTCTTGCTCGCACGCTCACTTATTATCTCTAGGGATCGTCTGGGTCTGTCAACTGAGTCATCAGCTGATTCACAATCAACCAGTAACACAGTGACACCTTTTCTGTCAGTCTATCATTTAACTGCTCCTCATTTTAAACTTAGTACTTTCTCTGCCGTGGTTCTTTCTTGTTGCAGTCATGCGCACCCTCCACCTTTCCATCACCACCTAGCCTTTACAGATTCATCAGCCTCATCCGCCTCAGCAGTCCGCAACCTCTGAGTCAGCAGCCACCACTAGTTTCTAGACTCCATGGGGGGATTTATCCTGCTGCCGCTCTGTTGTCCCTCGATCACAAAATATTTCCCTCTGGTGTCCAAATGCCACAGACTTCTGATAAATCTTAATCAGCACAAATCATCTGTTAATCTGTACACTCATATTCTGTATTAAATATTATCTTTACTTCTTTCTCCTGTTGCTCCTGATTGAACCAACAAAACATGGAATGGCTTTTTAATGTGAAACAGTAACAGGCAGTGTATTTGTCACAGAGGTTAGCACTGATCATTTTAACCACTTTTACTTTGCCCTGTTGTTGTGTGACAAACTTGTAGCGCCGTCTGGACCAGTTATTGACTGATTTCTTTATTAAACAATGTGATTTTTTTGGCTGCACTGGAAATAGATGCTCTTCTGGGGGTATTTCATATAGCTACCCGTGGAGTACCAGGACTGAAATCTTACAACTTTAATGTTGAGCTCTACTCACAGGAAAGAGAGGGTAGTGAGTCTTCTCTTTCTTCTCTGACATGTGCAGGTTGTAGGTAGCAACTTGCTTTGCATGCTCACGCTGCTCATTCAGCTTCTCCTGCCAGATGAACACACAAAAACACACACCTTTTATCATAATATTGACTAGAAAACGATATTGAGAGCATGACTTAAACTCACCAGGGGAAAAAATGAACTTTTTACTTAACCGTTAAATAGTGTTGGCAAAAACAGCTTGCAAAGCACTTAAAGTTGTTTCATTTTGAATTTTAATATCCCACATGTCCCACACCTCTTTTCCAGTGCTGTGAAGAGGACGAAGCTGTTTTCTCAGCTCTCTGGCCCCAACCAGTCTGGAACCACCCTTTACTCCTCAGTTGTTCAGATGGTTTTATTGTTCATGTTTTTATGGCTGCTTTTATTTCTCTTGACATAATGGTGTGAGTTTTAACTTACTTCTGCCTCTCACAATCCAATCAACTGTTTCTACTTCCTCAGCCTGTGTGTTGTGCTGTTTTCTGATCCCTTTTTTCCTCACTAGAAAAAACAAAAAAATCTCCAGAGCACTCATAAATCACCCCAGTAACCTAAAGCAGACATACGTTAACATATTTTTTTTATAGTACTAAAGCCCTTTCCCACTTGACCTGCACAGTCATAGTCTTTCAGCACACCACACAGTTCCCTTGGTCAGTCAGTCTGTGGTTCGGTCCACGTCTGCAGTATCTTGACCGCTATCACATGAATTGCTATTTGTTTCCAACATTCATGTTCCCCTCGGGATCAGCTGTAATAACTTTGGTGATCCCTCAACAACAACTAGCGCCACCATCAGGTCAAAATGTTCTTTTATTCAATACTTTGGTTTATTACCAAATATGTGCAGAACAAATCGCATCTCGCTCTGCCTCAGCTGTACAAAACAGCTCTGTTCGACTTAGTTACCAAATGTTAGCACGCTAAATTAATGTAGTGACCATGGTAACCATTACACCTGCTTAACATCAGCCTGCTAGCATTGTCGTTACGAGGAAACTGCCATGCTGGAATGAGCATACTGTATGTAGGCGTTGTGAGGTGTGTCTGTGGACTTTTATGGTGTGTATCCACAGGATTGGTCATTTCCACGCTTCCCATTAAATGTCTATGTAAGCAGCTATGCAATACGTTCTAGTAGCAGTGCTTTAAGGAGTCTAGTATCCGCTCCTCAATTGCATAAAGTTGAATTCAGACTACTTCATACAAATCAGGGGCATCCAGTGTGACTTGCCTCCTTTCCCAGAAACTTTAAATATTATTATTTGTATTTATTCATTTAACCTTTATTTAACCAGAGAAAACCTTAACATTAAAAACAATAAAAAATAATAAAAATACAGAATAAAAACGCACAACTACAAAACCAGCAAAATAAAACACAAAGTAAGATTACTATAAAGAAAAGCCAAAAAGTATGTTAATAAATACTATAAATTAACCATAAAAACGCAAAAAAGCGGCAACTACACATGATTACAAAGACCAGCTAAGACACGCCGTGATATTGGAATATGAAGATTGTGTACAAAAATCCTACAACAGTGCTTTGAAACAGCCAAAATGAACCAATGAGTGCAACTGTAAGTCCTCCTGCAGAAGATTCTACATATAAGGAGCTGCATACATACATACTTGTTTACCAAACTCTGTACGTACCCTTGGTACAGACAATAAAAACATTTTTTTGCTTTATGTACACACATAAGTATGCTGGAAGTAGGCCAAGAATAGCTTTATATACAAGGAGGATGCCAATGAAAAAGTCTACGAAATTGAAAGGAGAGCCAGCCAACCCGAGTATACAGATTCATTCATAGTTGTTGATGTAAAATGAAGACAGACTGATGTTATGAGAAACAGAAATTTTCCAAATGAGCTACTATTTTGATCCGGTTGTTATCTGGGAGCAGCCAGCCGATGGGCCTAGTTGCATTCTTATAAAACATCAAATGCTGGGAAGAGGCGTGACCACCCACATATCAAAAAACACCCCAGTAGACACCTGCAATTAGTGCATGTTCAGACAGAAGTGAGGCAATCTTATATTTATTTTGCAAACTGAACATCTGTCAACTGCAACAAACATGCAGAGACAAGAGGAACAAGAAGAAAGACTGGAGGAAAATAACTAAAAGACCAGGTAAAACTGTTGAGTCCTGACTGTTGGAGGCTGAGCTGAAAAAGAAAAAACACACACACACACAGACGACACATTCCCAAGGACAGAGTTGGTACATCCATTTCTAGTAAGCTTAGAGCTAACATTTGTACAATCTGTACATTCGATGTTTGGGGCACTAATGCATCCTAAGATAGCGACATCATGTCCCGCCCTACTCTGCCTTACTTTACCTCTGACTGACTAACCTGACATTCTTACCCTAACTCTATCCAATCTCACTCCATCGCTAAACCTAACCAATCCAACCAATGAAGGCAACACGTACCAGCCAGTCAGAGGGAGAGTAAGGTGGGGCATTTCTTTGCTATTCTAGGATTCACAAATTTGCCTTTAGGAAGCCAAATATATATTGTTTCCGATGATGGTGAAGGCATGGCACTGGCTTATGCTTGTTGCCTTCGTTGGTTGGATTGGTTAGGTTTAGGCATGGAGAGAGATTGGTAGGCTCAGGGCAAGATCACACATAAGCGACTGCAGGCGAGTGACCATCACCTGCCGAGACGCCATTTGCGCTGATTCTGGGTAGTGCCGAATTTGACGCACATGGAAAGCTAGCTTGTTAGCTAATGTGAGCGAGCTTGTTAAGACATACAGCAAAATGTAATGTTGTGACATTCTCAATTTTCTTGCACTCCATGCCTGTCTCCTGACTCACTGCCAGCCAGGCACCATCTCCCACGAAAGGCAGTTTACTTTTTTCCTAGCCAGTATTACACAATATTGGCTGGTTAGACACGGCAACAATCCATCAACAATCTCCTCCACACATACTTCTTTGCTATTAGTTGTGGCTGAGATTTCACCAGTCAAGGTTCACCAAAGGTAAATTCCACACAATGCGAAGATGCAATTTACCTTGTCACCAAAAGCAAATGTTTTGTTTGCTCATGCTGAATGTAAGTGAACAGGAAGTGATATTTGCCAATGTTAAATTCATTCATGTGTGACTGATGAACGTACCCTTAGGGTAAGAATATCAGGGTAAGCCAGTCCTCAATCAATCCGCCATCCTCAAACACACAAACAAACACATGTACTCGCCTGTTCTTTGTCCATGTACTGCTTGTCTCTCAGTTGCTCTTTAAGCAGTAAGAGTTTCTCCTGAGCTTTCTCCTCTGCCTGCTGCTGCTCCCTCAGGTAGACTGGAACGTTTCTTTGGGCCCGCTGCATACACAGGTAGCACAGCTCCTACGACGACATGAGAGTTGCTACTTTACACGCTGTAATTAGTTAGTAATGTAAACATATAACCATTTTACTCACCGACTTTCCGATACAAACAATTTGTAGATAATGCATTGTTTGGGTTTTATGTTATATAGATTTAAGAACATCCCTACAGCCCCCTTGACAGAGACCTGCTTTCTAAAAGCAATAAAGCTTTGAATCTGGTGTATTATCAAGCTCTGTAAAGTAATTTCATTCTCCAGCTCTCCATTTCCTGAAATACTTATCCTGTGTATGGTCTCATAGGGCTGGAGTCAGTCAGAGCACATACTGGGTGCAAGGCTAGGTACATCCAGGGCAACATTATACTCAACCAAGAAAGTGAATCCACCTTGAATTTTAGAGACAACTATAAAACCCAGATTAGATTTACACTTACACACCTACAGTACACAGATGCATGAGCGCATCCACGCATGCAGACACTCACCTGTCCAGCACGGGTGTGGCTAGAGCAGCTGACGTTCACACGAGGTTCGACCAGTTTGGGAGTGGCCTCTGGTGGTGTGATGGAGGTGGTAGGCCTGGGAGTGGGAACAGATTCTTTACCACTGTATACTTATCAAAGAGAACGACCTCCTAGTGCATGTGCAGTTTGGTGTTATTATGGAAAAGTGTACTATTTAACCAGTGATCGCCTAAGAAAAATGTGTGTGTGTGTGTGTGTGTGTGTGTGTGTGTGTGTGTGTGTGCTGACAATGCAGGGAGGTGATGACAGAGGAGGAATCTGTCCCACAAGTAGTTTTGCATCATTGATGGAGCTCGAAGCTGCCTCAGGGCGGTAACAATATAAGACCACCACTTAGCTCTCAGCTCTCGCTGACTCATCTACCTGCAAACAACAGCTATGTGCACTGCAAACTGAACCTCTCCATAGAGACTGTGTGCTCGTCTGCCTGTGTGTTTTTGTGTCTTTGTGTGTGTTGTACTTGTCTGTGGCCTCCGTGGGGGGGTTTGGATTTAGTTCTTCAGACAGGCTGACAGCTTTCATCTTGGCCGGCTGCAGTGGCTGATGGGATTTAGATTCTCTCTGTTGGGGAACTCCTGTAGAGACACACAACACTCTGAGTAGCTGCACTTGTCTCGCTCTTCATAAGGCAGCTTCAAATCTATCATTATTTGTTCTGTCATTCTGGACTCAATGGCCGTTCTTTCTTTGCTGTATTTCAACCTCTGTTGCACCCAATTAATTCTGTTTTTCATCGGGATGGGTTTCAACAGCCAGTTCCAATTTGGTAAAATGCCTGGACTCGTTAAGCTCTAACAAATCCAGTCTTTTATAATTAGCTGTTTATTAGAGTTGTCCATTCTTAAAGAGACAGTTCATCCCATAATACAAAATACATATTTTTGCTCTTACATGTAGGGCTATTTATCAGTCATGGTGTGAGTTACAGAGTGTTGTAGATATCAGCAGTAGAGACGTATGCCTTCTCTTGAATACAATGGAGCTAGATGACACTCGGCTTGTGGTGCTCAAAGCGTCATAACAACACACTGAAAAACCCAACAGCAATATCTCTTTCCTGAAATCATGATACTCCACAGACCTTGTTGTAAGCGCTTTCATGTATTAACTTTTTATCACTGTGCAGAGGGAAGCATACAGCTACCACAGACTGTACGAAATAATGGATGTAGCCACCATGATGTCACCCCCATTGATTTGTGGACAGAGTTTGGTATTTTGGACGTCGCCATCTTATATTATCAGAGCTAGAAGTGACCATTTTTGGTTGACAGGTGTAGCTGTGGAGGATCAGCGGCTGAAATCTCCAACACTCATCTTCAAGCGCAGCGAGAGATTAAAGGAATAGTCTGACACCTTGGGAAATACTTAACCGTTATCCTGACAAAAGTTTGACGAGAAGATTGATACCACTCTCGAGCCTGTGCGATGTGATCAAAATTTGGAGAGCTGGTTAATTCTTAACTAAAGAAATTTCAAGAGACTTGGATGCATGTAAAGAAGCTCGACTGAGGAGAATCACTGTCAAGCAGTATAGTGAATACCTTGTATGTCATCCCAGGGTTCAGGAGGTGTCCTTTAAAACAGGGCCTATTTAACTATTTGGTGTCTTTAGAAAAGTATACATGTGTACATATATATATATGTGTGTGTGTGTGTGTGTGTGAGGATTCTATTAATTATTGTTTCTAAATAAGAAACAGAAGCTGTTCTTACCTGACTTAACCTTAATCATGCTTCCTGTCCCTGAAGTCCTGCCAAAGCCTGAGGCATGTAGCAACCTATCTCACCCTGACCTTAGTTGCTGTGGAGACAAATGCAGCCAGCTCCTCTTATCAGGGCATGTGACACAACTGTGTCATATTACAGCAGAAGGAAGACCCTAAAAAGGAAAAATTGCTTCGTGTGTAATAAATATGAAGCTAAAGCGTTAAAAAACGGTTCACTTCAAGCCAAGTCAAGTCAAGTCAAGTCAAGTCAAGTCAAGTCTTTATTGCCACCTCGAAAAAACATAGATTGGAATTCACTTTGGTGTGTGAGGCCCACACAAAAGAGTACAAAAACAAAGTACAACACCTTAGCTGAGCATAGGAACTTGAAGCATTGGGAAGCAGCTAGCCTGCATGTACAAAAACCCTTTTGAGTCCTGTCATTCTTGTAAGGTTGCCAAGGAAACCAGCTGAGACTCCAAGAAGTCACTTCAAATACAGATGGACGCGGCTACTGTAGCAGCAAGGAATATGCTAAACACCATAAAACACCGACCAACCACAATGATTCCCTCTTTGATTTCGTATTTTGGATTGAGAAATCATATCTATATATTTGTGTTTTTGTTGAGCAGCCATTTTAGCCATGAATCGTAGACAGAGAAGAGCTCTCGTTGTAGCGCTACTTTACATCTGGAGGAGACAGCGACCTCGCCACTGGGTCCACCCTATACTACATGTTGTTCCAGAGAGGGAAAGTAAACGAAACGTCACGACAGACCACCACCGAGCTTGCTCACCATTGGATAGTGTCTTCACGTCTGACGGGTTAATTTGCATAAAGTTGAGTCGCAGTCAACTTTTGGACGCGCCAGAGCTGCTCAAACGGCCGCGCCGCCTACCCAAAATGCTTTGTGGGGACATCAGCAACGGTTTGACGCGATCCATAGGAAATGAATAGGCATAAGCGCCAAGCGGACACAAAAAATGCCAGTGGATCCCAGGCGTCATTAGCACACAGTGCTTATATGATTAATAAGAGCTAACATAATTTCCGCCACATCTTGTTTATTTCAGCTTCGACAGCTATTGTAGCCCCAGCTCAGCCTCACAGTAAAGAACAAAGGTCTCTTTCCAATGCAGCAAGTTGCTGAGACATTTGAAAGGATTTGGATTTGATTCAATACTTAATTTAGATTCATTAAAATGCTATCAAACCCCAAATTGTCAGCCTTGTGCAAAAAGCTCTTTCACCTCCTGCATTCCTCTGGTCTGGAGTTGGTGACAAGCACCATAGATCTTTGTCACCGGCTTTGTTGTCTGGCTGAGGAGAGCAGACAGTTGGCAGGGTGACGGCAGTCCTTGGCCTCTGAAGCCTGGACAGGCCACCAGAGAGTAAAGAGACACTGCTCCCAGGTCTCTGCAGGGGTAAATGTACAGATGATCTGCATGGATACATGGACTGTGCATTCTTTAAACAAACACACACTTCTTTATACTCACATTGTTAAAGGTCAACAGCAGACGACCAGTTCCATCCATGGCATTAATAAAATCTCTGTTGAACTTCATCCGCACCTTTGAACAACATCCTATGAGATTAGATTTAACAGAAAACTAGTGGTCATAGTCCACAACTAGGAAACAGAATGAGCAGGTGAGCCACCTTGTTGTTCTTAAAGGACAAAACTCCAATTCCCTGGAAGGTGAGGAACACGTTTTGTTCAGAGGCTAAAGCTCTGAAGAGGAAAAGAAGAGTTTCTCTGATGCAGCCCTCCACTACATCTCGACTGAAAGGAGTCTCTTGTGACACAGCTGCAAAGTTCAGTTGCACCACTGGTAGGTGTGTTGCTGCAAGGGACACACACACATACACAATCCTTATTATAATATCATGTTATAGTTGTTGTGACATCACAATCTCAACTTTCCTTATCAGTGTTGTGTGGTTTTAACAGATTCGATCAACAGCGGCCAAACTATAATCAAATTCTGATTTTTCAGGAATTTTCAGGGCCTCTCATTTTCCTGATATATATATTTTACCCAGTCGGTGGTACTCAGTTTTTGATTTCCACATGAGTGTGTGGTAAAATACATCCTCAGGCTCTTCTTCAAAGCATGTGCTCACCTGCAGCCAGGGGCCTGACCTGCTTTAAACCCAGAGACTGGACTAGTTTCCCAGCCAGGAGGAAGATGGGTCTTTGGATCATTGTGAACTTGTTTCCTATGTCCAGCTTCTGCTGAGAGAAGCTGAAGGTCCCCAGTCCTGCCAGGTGGACCCCCTGTTACAATGGAACACTCAATTAATGATAGATAGATAGATAGATAGATAGATAGATAGATAGATAGATAGAATCCATGTACATCTAACAGTCCATCTAACCACCATGATACGCGCCCGATTGCTGTTATAGATTAACAGCGCCCAGCAGCGTCAGGGGGAAACGCGGCCGGACAAGGATGAAAGTTAAGGCAGCAAAAGTGCTAATAGGGCGGGGGGATGGGTCCACTGCTTGGGCCTCTGCTTTGATTTAGACTGAAGATTTCTAAAACAAAATTTAAAAAACTTGCACTGGTGGCGTATTACCTAACATACTTTCCTTCACTGTTACATCACCCAGGAAATTACCTAATAAATGTCACCAAACTGGAGAGGCTGGTCTCACTCCGAAGTCATCAAAATCCGGCACTTGGGCAGTGACTTGTGGCGTCAGAAACCAACGAAAAAGGCGTCCTTTGATGTTGGCAAAAAATATGCAGCTTGTTGCTGTTATAGATGAACGGCTATCGGCAGCATTGGGGGAAATGCAGCGGGACAAGGACGAAAGTTAAGGCGGCAAATGACTGAGTGGGGCGGGCATGAGGGGTGGTGGATGGGTCCAACAAACACAAACTTTAACCCGAGAGAGCAGTGTTTGCGTCCCGTAAGATTCTAAAGCCAAATCTTGGTACTCCAAACCAAGACAATGCATGTAACAGGCAGAACTTGACACGGTGTCCCAGAACATCAACAATAGAGATGTACCGATACCACTTTTTCCTTCCCGATACCGATTCCGATCCCTGAACCTTAGGTATCTGCCTATACCGAGTACCGATCTGATACCAGCGTGTAAAATAAAAATGGATGGGATATAATTGTTGTATGTCTCACCTCCTAAAACTCTATGTAAAATATTAAGAAATAAATACATAATAGTAGAATGAATGCCATAAAACCTTTTTTTTATTATTATCCAGTGTTGACCTATAGATAGCCTAACCTTCTGCAAGGTCATCTGACGTTCAATGTAGGCGGACACATCAGCCCAAATACAGTTGATATCTGAAAAAAACGGCGACATGGAGACACATGAGCACTTCATCAGCAGTGTATGCACAGAATATAAACAACCAGCAGCTGTATTAAGAGTTCATCACAGAGTCACTGCTTTAAATAAAACTTTGTGTCAGACCGTTTTCAGAGAGCTGGGAGAGAGTTTGGAAGATCCGCCTGTCCACTTCTGACACCAGCCGCAGTATGTCAGTCATCTCCGTCGGAGATATCCTCACTGGGTGCAGCTTTTAAAGAGGTTTCTCTGCAGTCTTGTCGTCTCTGTCTTTGTCTTTGCCCGTAGCAATCATAGACTGAAGCAATGCACCCCCGCGGGGCGCGCAGCGAGCCGGGTTTCCAGAGGAGCGCAGTGACTCCTCTGTCACTGTTACTGCGGCTGACGCAAAACTACAACAAAGGTTTCAGAGTTCAGGTTTCATTATTGTAGTTACCGTCAATGGGCTGTAATGTCATGAAAAAATGTCATGTTCAGGACAGTGCACTGGACACAGTCCAACTTACGCACTGATAAGACCCAAACACCCTCCTCTCTAGCAAAATAAAAAAACATAATGCTTTTAGTTGCTAAAGTCACTTGTATGAAAGGAAACACAGGCATATTTGTATCCTTTTAATGCTATATATTTGCTTTGAGTAAGTGCTTATAAACACAGCCCATAGCTGGGAAATGTTTATATGGGCGGAACTTAGGTTTTACTTTCCACTGTCAGCAAGACTTTTTGTTTTGTTTTACAACCGAACATTCTGACTCAAAGGACTGAGGAGCTTCTGAGAAGACACTGGTGACTCTTCTGGATCCCTAGGGGAAAATATTCATCACAATGACGGCGAAAATAGGCTTACTTCTGAATCTCCTGCTGACCTTGTTGACAGGTAAGACCTGATCACGACTGCTTCATCATACAGGCTGAATAATGTGTTTTCTTTTTAGTAAAAAAGTTTATATAGAATATAATATTCATTGTGTTGCTTTGCATCTTTTCAATCTTTATTGCCCAACATTAATCAAAAAGTAGTCAAATGTAATAAGTTACATCGTTTTAATTGATTAATTAAGATAGTTACATTACTTATTACATTTCTAACTGGATAACTAATCTACTACATTTCAAAAATAATTTTCCATCAATGTAAATTCAGACTATATGTGGTGTTAAATTTTCAGCTTTCAAAGTGTGGCTAACCATCACCTCATCTACATCTATTCTTATTAAATTGATAGTCCTGCAAGAATATGCTAATAAGTAACTATACTTTCCTCCAGTATTTCCATTTTAAACTACCAAATTTCAGGGAAACATACTGTAGTGTTTACTCAACATTAATGTGACAGATGTAATTACTAGTTACTTTTTAGATTCAGACTCTGGTAAATGGTAAATGGACTGCTCCGACCACTCAGGGTGCTTTTTGCACTACGTGTCACATTCACCCATTCACACACACATTCACACACTGGTGGCCGAGTCCACCTGCTACTCAGTAACCATTCACACGCACTCACACACCAATGGAACAGCCATCAGGAGCAATTTGGGGTTCAGTATCTTTCCCAAGGATTCTTTGACATGCCTGAAAGAGCCGGGGATCAAACTGCCCATCTTGACTAAACTACTGAACCTTATATAAAGTAGGCTAGGCTATTAAAACTAGCTCCAGCTCCACCAACTACAACAGTTAAATGCTTATTACACATTGTTGCATCAGTAACAACAAGCCTAATAGTATTACACTGACTTTAACTTTTGCTGTTAATACCTCTGTACTTTAAGTATGGGTTTTAGTAGGAGTTTTACATTGTTGTCATGGTATTTTTACCAGCGTCTTGAAAAGTCTTGAAAAATAATGAAAACAGAAACAAACACAACGTTATGTGCGATATTAATTCTTGGCCATGTACACTGATAATAGGCCTAATAATCAATCCTGAAGTGTTGTTGTCACCTTGAAGTTGCCAGGCAACCAGAGAAACTCAAATATTTTGTAACATTTGGACAGAGCTGAGCCACTGTTTCCCTCTTTTTCCAGTCTTTCTACTAAGCTCACCATGTCCTGACTGCAGCTTCATATTTATCATACATAATTATCTAGATTTTTACCACCATTTATTCACACCTGAGCAGCACTGACAGTGTTAATAGAGTCCCGTAGTACACAGGTAACAGTGTATCTTACCTTTTGTGAAACAATACAGCGCTGTATGACGTTTCTTGCAGGCTGACCCGGAAATTAGCGCTGCATTAGTTCCCTTGTCAAAAAACAAATGTTATTTTTCAGTTGGATTATTGCAGAAAATGAGCTCTTTGTTAAATAAACATTGATTATACTTACACATTTTCGTGAGCAAGATAATCTCCACAAAACCATCGTTATGATTTTTGAAGCATAAATGTAATCACCAAAAATAAAAAAGCTAACGTTAGGCTATAAACCAGAACAAGTGTGTATTATTGGTTACTGTTTATGCCACTTATTATGCTTCTGTGCATTGATAACTTTTTTATATATATATGATATCTGACTGGGGAAGGTCACATATAAAGATATACATATATATATACTTTATATAAGCTAGAAAAAGCTTTCAATTGGTTGCCTGCTGTTGAAAATGCCTGGCCCATTGATATTTTCTGGTTTTAAAATCTGGCCCAGTTGAATTTATAATTTAGCAGCACTGCAGTAGATCATCGTCTCATAATGGGTGTCAGTTTCAGCAAAAATGTGAATGAATTCTCTTATACTCTTATCTGGACCCAAGTCATGTTAATTATTATATTGCTAGTTATTTTTCTTCTATAATCCTGTTAAGTACTGATAAAAATATGATATCAATCTTAATAAATGCATGTATTTAATAGATAATTTTAGGCCTTATTGCCCCTACTGGTTTGATTGTGAAACAGGTATTACATCACATTCTATCTGATATTAAAAAGTCTTAATTTAATATTGAAAATTGAATTTGGTGGACACTGCAGACACCCTGTTTACTTACATTTAATAATAAGAGGAATGACAATAGAGTCAGTGTAATGTGACAGGAACAAGACTCTATAATAAAAGAACAGGCAATAAAATATCTTAAGGAACAGATCCTCAGTTTCCAAAGATTGACAGAGGTCACCAACAATTTGAATATTCGTAATATAAGAAAAGCTGACATGTTGAATAAAAAATGTTTCCAGTGTTGTTACAGTTTAGCTGTTATAATAATGTGCACATTCAAACTACCAGTCCTACATTGTGAAATATCCATGCGATTATGAAATGTGTCAAATAGCATGAACTCAGCATCATTAGTGCTGAGTACTTCTGCAGAAACCGATTAACTTGCCTTTAAAAGGACATTACAAGACCAATAAGGAATTGGGAAATGGGATGTGGTCAGTTTGTAACGTAGTATTGTAGTTATGTCACATGAGTTCACAGTACAGAGTGATGCAGGAATGACTCCTGAAACCTGAAAATGAATTTTAGCACTCATGGTTTCCTCGTCTCAAAGTCAGTAGATTTTTTTGAATGGGTTTTTAGTTAGATGCTTGAAATAAGGTCTGCGGTTAACACAAGCTTAAGAGACTGCCGTGTTTTGTTCTACAACATAAAATCCATAAGCAAATACCCCATTCGTGAATTTTGAAACCTACATGTCCTAAAAAAAGGCGGTTGCCATGGTGACATTGAAGTCTTGCGATTGCATTTATGCTTCAAAAATCATAAAAGTGATGTTCATTTGTGAAGATTATTCTGTTCTTTTCTTGTTCAGAGCTCATTTTCTGCAATAATCCAAAATCCAACTGAAAAATAACATTTGGTTTTTGACGAGGGAACCAGTGCGACGCTATTTTCCGAGTCGGCCTATCACAGCTGACACTAGGTGAGAGGCGGGGTACACCCTGGACAGGTTGCCAGACTATCACAGGGCTGACACATCGAGACAGACAACCATTCATTCTCACATTCACACCTACGGCCAATTTAGAGTCACCAATTAACCTGCATGTCTTTGGACTGTGGGAGGAAGCCGGAGTACCTGGAGAAAACCCATACCGACATGGGGAGAACATGGGGCTCCCTCCTGGGATTGAACAAGGAACCAGCAGTAAAATGTCCATGAACAGATTTTTTTTTTCTCAATATCCACAAACAATTTCATGTTAATTTTGCAAAATATATTAAAATTTACAACACTTGTTCACAGGTGTGTGTCCTCAGAGACCCAGAGACGTAAATGTCAAGGCAGGTGAGATGGTGGCGCTGTACTGCCGCCCTGACAGGAGGAATAATCATGGCGATGCTGGAGTGATCTGGAGAAGTTACACCACCCAGGAGATGAATTTGACCGCCATGTCATCAGCTGAGCAGGCGCAGATGGGCCTGTTGGTTCATGGGAGGAGTCTTGTCATTCTCAGTGCTTCTATAAAGCATCAGGGGAACTACTCGTGCTCTCAGGGGTAAAGTCCAACAAACAATAAACAACATTCCTCTATTACAAGGAGGCAAAATTCTATGAAACCACATCTAAACTGTTTTTATTCCTGAGACTGACATTGACCAAGACTAAAAGGGCCATAAATAGTTGTAAACAGGATTTACTCCAGAGGGATTATTTTGGTTAAGATCACTGATGAATAAGGTTTTACATTAGTAATTTCTAATAGTAGCTTCATCTTAATGAATATAAAGTGCAGATGTTTTATGTAAATGATATATTAGAAAACAGTATTGCTCATATTCTGAAAGCAAGGTTTGTCCTGTGTTCAACAACAGCAGCTTTTATACTCGCAGAGAGCCACTGAACTTGTTGCTTGAGCATTAAAGGGGAACTATGGCCATTTTCAAAATTTGTATGTTATTCCTACGGTCTAAGACAGTCCAAAAATATCAGTAAACATGAACAACTCTCTCCAAAATCCCCAAACTAGAGTGCTTAAACTCAAATCTGTGATGTCATCCAGCATGAAGCTGGAGCTGCTCCATAGACAGTGAACCAGGAGAGATGTCACATGGCACTGAGAGCACCATTTCATTTGATCATTCATTTCCTGTGGAGCAGCTCCAGACTTTATACTTGATGACATCAGATGTTTGAGACTTAATTCTGTGGCTTCTGGCTTTCTTACTTCATGTGGTTCCCCTTTAAAGAGTAAACTAGAGTCTGTTGCTGCACTAGCAGCTCTAGCAGCATGATTATCTGAACCAAATTTCATGGCAGTCCATCTAGAAGTTTCCAGTCCCAAAGACATTTCACTCAAAACCACAAGATTAAAAGTCAGAGAATCACCAGAGTAATTCAGGATGAATCCTGACTTTCTGGGAACACTGAATGTCTGTGCAACACATCTTTTCTCAGCAATCCATCCAGTTTGTCTCTACCAAGGAGATGGACTAGCAGACAGTGCCATCCCTAGAACAATGGCATGATTAAAAGGAGCTCTTACTCTCAGATTTGTCTCTCCATCCAGGCAGTTCTGGTGTGATTTTGTTCTTTGTAGCATGAAACCTTGTCTCACATGAAGAGCCACTGCAGAATGTTTAAAATCTGAATGTGAAACCTTTATATTAACTTTTTCTTTAATGACATGACAGGGACGCCGGCAGCCAGTCCTGGTTCAGGCTGAGAGTTTACACAACACAGAGAGAGGGTGAGGAGATGAGCCAGTACCCTGGAACCTGTTACACACAAGAGGCCTGCACATTGTATTGCCCTGATGTTAATGTCCCTGCTGAAGGTATTCTAAATATTACCAGCAACAGCATAATATGGCGCAAGGTATGTAACTATGAGTGAGAATAAGATTTGATTGAGAAATAAGGAACTGCATCATGCTCAATTTCATGCTTTAAAGCCAAGCTTTATGTTTCATCTTGTAGGTGGGCGAGTCATTGCCAATAGATGGTTACTTCTCACGTGTGGAAGAGAAAGACCAGGGTGCCTACACCTGCACCAGATCTTACCTGTATAATGGTCAAATATATAACAGGACCTTTACTGTGCTGCTTGACATCAAACCAAAGGGTGAGAAAGAGCACTTCTTTCTATTCATATTGATGTTCACAGACTTTAATATGTTTATTTGTGTTACATGTTTCCTGTTTTTGTGGCACAGAAAAATCTGGAACGCCAGTAATACTTTCACCACTCGGTGGTGATGTCTTTCATGTAGATTTAGGTGAGTTATGTGTCCTATTTTGTAGATGCATTCACGTGTATACACACGGCTATTATGACAGGTGAAAGTAACAAAAATTATTTTGAAAAATGTAGGTTATGAAAATGCATGTGAATTGAAAAACTGAGATGTAAACATTGATGTTAAAAAATAGTGATAAATTATCAAGAGATTTGTTTAATTTGTCTACCATTCATCATTCACAACATCCAAGTGGGAAAACACACTGACTAACTGTTGAAGGTTTTGGCTCTCACAGGGAAACTTTGCGGATTTTCAACCAGCTATGTGTCACTGCAGTGTGTGCAGACGAACGGTGTTTCTTTCCTCACCAGAGCTCCCGGCTCATCCGCTGAGGTTATGAGACAATGGGCCCCTAGGCACAGATATGCAAAGGGCCCCACCACCTCTTCTACACAGGAGCAAGACACAAAGACTATGTAGTGGTTTGGGTCTCTTTGTCGTTACACATCATGTAATGGTTTTGCATCTCTATGTGGTCAGTTTGCCTCTCCTTGTGCTGGTTTTGTGTCTCTTTGAAGTCATGTTGTGTCTCTTTTGGCTAGTTTTGACTCGTTCGGTTCTTGTTAATGTCCATTCATCTATCCATTAATTTTCATCCCCTTATCTGAGGCCGAGTTGAGGGGGCAGCAGGCCAAGCAAGGCACCTCAGACGTCCCTCTCCCCAGTAACGTTTTCCAGCTCCTCCTGGGGGACCCCAAGGTGTTCCCAGGCCAAATGATATATGTAATCCCTCCAGTGTGTCTGCCCCAGAGCCACCCCCGCGGGAGCCACCCAGGATCAGATGCCAGAACCACTTCAACTGACCCCTTTGATGCGAAGGAGCAGTGGCTCTACTCCGAGTTCCCTGTGGATGTCCAAGCTCCTCACCCTATCTCTGAGGCCCAATCCCAATACCCCCCCCCCCCCCCCCCCCCCCCCCCCCCCCCCCCCCCCCCCCCCCCCCCCCCCCCCCCCCCCCCCCCCCCCCCCCCCCCCCCCCCCCCCCTTGTACACTACCCCTTAGCCCTTGGCCCTACCCCTAGCCATTGCCCACTACCCCTTGGCCCTCGAAATGAAGCAACGAGGGGTAGGGGTTGAAATCTTAGGAATTGGGACACACTCACTACGTCACCGCGTTGGTTATCTTCACGCATACGTAACTATTTTAAATAGGAAGCTGCGAGTCTATCTATATTTCCAACCAGCATCTACAATGGAGTCTCTGGTTGAGCTCATCCTACCTATCGCGTTTGCTGTATTCATCATGCTTCGTTTGATCAACGACAGATGGCAGGGGACTTCTGCTAGCTAGCTAGCTAGCTAACTCGCTAACACTACGAGGCAGCATAGTTATACTAGCTGGCGTGTTAACGTAATGTGAAAATCTGACAATTTTGCAGAACAGGACAGATGACAGACGCCAGATAGTGCGAGCTAGCTAGCTAGCTAGCTAACTCGCTAACACTACGAGGCAGCATAGTTATACTAGCTGGCGTGTTAACGTAATGTGAAAATCTGACAATTTTGCAGAACAGGACAGATGACAGACGCCAGATAGTGCGAGCTAGCTAGCTAGCTAGCTAACAAGTAACCTGACTACAGTAACGTTAACTATGTATGAACTTTTTTCCCCGTCTCTTGCTCGGTGGTAGCCATGGCGACATCTACCCCTCGCTGGCAAGTCAGCATTTGAAATCCCTTGCTCTGAAGGGCTAGTTTCATACCCACTACCCCTCGTTATGCCCCCTACCCCTACATGCAAAAAGGAATTGGGACACCCCTACCCCTAGGGCCAAAGGGTAGGGCTAAGGGGGGGTATTGGGACAGGCCCTAAGGATGAGCCCAGCCACCCCACAGAGGAAACTCATTTTGGCCGATTGTACCTGCGATCTCATTCTTTCCGTCACTACCTAGAGCTCATGACCATACGTGAGGGTTGGGATGTAGATGGACCATTAAATCAAAAGCTTCGCCTTCTGGCTCAGCTCCCTCTTCACCATGACGGTCCAGCGCAGCGCCCGCATCATTGCAAAAACTGCGCCAAACCACCATTCCATCTCACGCTCCATTCTACCCTCACTCGTGAACAAGATCCTGAGATACTTGAACTCCCTTGCTTGAGGCAGTAACTCTCCCCAAACACAGATGGGGCAATCCACCGGTTTCCGGCAGAGAACCATGGCTTCAGATTTGGACTTGTTAATGTGCGTAACATTTTGCTAGTGAAGGCCAGGGGACACCTTGGGCCTCTGGGCCTATGCCCGGTAGCCCTGTTCAGTAATGCAGCCATGGTTGTGAATGATGAATGACAGATGGGGAAAATGATTAAACATGGCTCTGTTTTTATCATATCACAGCTGTTTTAATCAAATAGGGTATGAATTAATTAAATCACATAATAACCTCCATTTGTATCATTCAATTTTTGTACTGCTGCCACTCCTCACAGACTATAGCTTAAAAAAATATAAACTGCGTTAACTCTGCTTTTTCTAGGCTCAACAAAGTTGATTGATTGTGAAGGTGTCATGTATTCAGACTTTGATGGCATGTTCTGGTACAGCGGGGAGTCAATTGTAGAAACAAAAAACAGCTATCCAGTTTTCTACAATACAACACGGTAAAGATTTTGTATGAGAAAAAAAGTGCAAATGTTAAACGCAGCCACATTTACACACATGCACATTATAGCTAACAGTCGTCTTTCTGGATTTTTCTTTTTTCTTTCCTTTTCTTTACAGGGAAAAGAATGCTGGAGAAATAAAGATGACAGCATCTCTTATCTTCAATAAAGTGTCAGAAGTGGATTTATCAAAAAATTACACCTGTAAACTTGCATCTGTGTCTGGACACTCAAGCTCTGTCACCATCACTTTGGCCCAAAAAAGTATGTAAGATGTATGGAATTGCTATTGTATATGTATTATTCCAGAGGTGTTGTGTACGATTTATGATACTAAAGCTTGAACCAGTTCAACTGAACTGTACTTGATAATCACATCTCCAATTAACACACATTTAAATTATGAGGAAGTTTCATCTGCTGTCTGCTACTTTAAATAAATTTTAAGAGTTATTTGTCCTTTATACGCCTACAGCACCTCCTTCCTCCTTCTCCTTGGCTCTCAGCATTCTCTGTGCCGTGGTGGTGGTGGTGATCATTGTAGCAGTTGTTGTTATTGTGAAGCTATCCGGGTCCAAGATCTGGCCTGCTGCACACCACCCATGCAGGCTTTGTGGAGCAGCAGACCCACTTGATCCAAGCCTGAGTCACAATTAAAATATCGTGTCAATGTTTTAGTATAATACATATATATTTAGCTCACACTGAAAGATGAATCACTGCTGTCATACTATGCTTTATATAACAGAAATATATTTTTAAAGAAATAATTTTTTAATGTTTAAATATTTTAAGGTTTTGTTGGGATTTATAATTTACCTTAACACTGTTTTTTAAGATCCTCTACCTCACTGTTTTCCTTCTCATATGTTCTCCATCCTTTCACCTCTGTAACTTTTTTGCCTGCCACTCCATATGTCATAAGAATACAATGCCCTAGTGTAGTGGTGCCCCCTCCTGGTGAGCTCCAGCACTGCAAATATTCCATCTGATCATGAGCTCTTGATGGTTGGACACATCTCATTGAGTGAAAAGCTTCTTTTCACGGCACACATTTTGACTTGACCACATATGTGGTCAAGTCAAAATGTGTGCTGTGACTTTGACTTGACCACATATGTGGTCAAGTCAAAATGTGTGCCGTATATTTCAACCCCTAGGCATATTTTGAATGTGGATAGGGCAAGTATCTTTATCTCTTATTTATTTATATATTTATCCATTAAAAATGATCATTTTACATCATTTTTAGAATTTGTTTCATGTTTTTTTTTTCATTATTTTTTTTTAGCTCAGAACAAGGTGCCTCAACCGTCCCAGGGAGGTGGAATTCTGGGAAAATGCACTCCTTGTACATTCACAAGTTTGGGTAAAGCAAAATATGTGTTCTGAGTTTGTCACTCCACAAAAAAAAGCATAACCACCCAGCCAAAGTTGAGTGATTAAAATAAATGGCAAGAAAATAAGATTAGGTTTCAAGATTGTGAAATAATCAGCAGTATTCTCTGCTGAGACGCTCTTGAAGAACAAGAGCCACTCCAAAGTGACGGACTCTCGTTCAGCAGCTCACGGCAGCTAACATTAACTCAGAGCACACACCTACAGCAGTGAGCAGTAACTGTCTAAAGGTACGTCAGTGATGGTCATTTTGCCTGGGGTTATATGATTGTGGCATTTAACAGTTATTTATTCATGTATGTATTAGACCAGGGGTGTTAACCTCATTTTAGTTCATGGGCCACATACAGCGCAATTTGATCTCATATGGGCCGGACCAGTAAAACCATTGCATAATAATCTCTACATAACAAAGCCTTTAAATATGTACCTCTCTTTTAGTGTAATGAAGTAACATTACAGCCAGCTTACACCCTGAAAACATTGACAATAAATAAATAATCCATAAACAAAATCAATGATGAAGAGCCTGAGTTAAAACCTAAAAGATGACAGAAAAATAAGTGCCATTTCAATAATATGTCTGTTTTTCAGCAAACTCACCCTCAGAGTGCCACTTTGATGCTGTTTCATCGGCAATAAGGTAGCTAGCTAGCTTTCACAGCTGCAATGCCGATCTCTCAACTAAAACTAAAACCAAACTTGTTTCCTCAAACCTGCCGACAATTAAATTTATCTTTCCTCTTAGTTGTCCTTGCAAGTTGTTGCATTTTTACTGTCATGAGTTTGATAGTGGTGCTAAATACAATATTTCTTATGCACTGAAAGGTGCTGCGAGCATACCAAGCTCACTGGCTTCCCATTTACCTCTGTCGGGAAATCAGAGTTAGTTTATTTCGACAAATAGTAATAGTAGTCCATTTAATTGAAAAAGTAGAGTTAATGACTTCTCTGCAATTTTAACTTGAAATTTATTGAGTGGGCCGTTTGGCGGGGGCCGTATGTTTGCCACCCCTGTATTAGACTGAAAGAGCTAAGGGAGCTTGTGGAACGTAGTGAAACCACATTCACACATGGGGTAAGCTAAATGACTCTGATCCGTTAGTAGTAGCATAATTCTATATAGTAGAGGTGGGGTTATGATAGGATGGTGTCTGTGCGTTATAAGATTTCAGGCCCGCCCAGAAAATCCTGGGCACAGGAACTCCACAATGCAAATTGACACTGTTCACAGACACAGTATTTTCTAGCATGTATAATGTATTTAGAAAGAAATGATTAATTCTTCTTGAACAAAATTGTGCCTTTTCACATTTCGGTTACCCTCGAAAAAACTTGATAGCAGCGCTTGATAAATTGTTAGCAGATATGTGTAGTTCTGTTCAGGGATCAAATCATTTTTTTTACTGTCCAAGTAGTCTGTGTGTAATGGAAAGTTATTATGTGTCGATATAAGTGTCCCAGCCAACCCCACTCTTACCCTCTGCGAGTACTGAGTGGAAATGTGAGCTGCCAAATGGAAACGGAAACCTAATTAATTTCCTGCATAAAGGTCATGTTATCATGCAGAGTACCACTCAGTCTGTGAAAGCAGTTAGTGGCTGTGGAGAAGCTTCGTCAAGTCTCTAAAGATAACCCTCAGTGATTTAGTCAGTGAAAAGATTCTCTCAGTTGCATTGTGGGAAGCGTGTAGAATCCATTGTCTTTTTGCATTTGTTTTTTCTACGTGTGCTTTAATTTATCTGTATATGTATATATGTACACATGTATGTATATATATGTGATGTGTATTTATTTTTTTAACTTTTTATCTTTGTATTTCGATACTTGTATGTGCGATATGGATATGTTTTTTTATCTTTATATTTCTATATTTGTAAGTGTATGATGGCACCTTGGGGCTGGGAGAAAGCGCAGTTTCGTTGCCATGTACCATTAAAGATATCTCTGCCGCTATCTGGCTCTTGTGAGTCCCCTGAGTTTATGGAAGTGCAACACTATATTCCCGGACTACTTTAAAGCTTTGAGGTTTTGCCTTGTCACACCTTACTGTAAAATGAAGCTGTGTCCAGTTTGTCTTTTGGTTGTTACAAGTTTACCCAAAGAGCATGTTTAAGTCAATGTACCGGCAACAGTCGTGGACTCAAGCATTATGTTTTCAGGTTGTCCATACGCCCGTCTCATTCTTGTGAATGCAATGTCTCAGGAGCCCCTTGAAAGAATTTGTTGACTTAACGATGAACTGATTTGATTTTTTGTGGTCAGCAGTCAAAGGTCAGAGGCCACTGTGACCTCACAAACATGGTTTTGGCCTTAACTCTAGAATTTATGCGCTAGTCATGACAAAATATCACACAAATGTCCAATATGATAAAGTAATGACATTTTATGTCCAAAAGGTCAATGGTCAACTTTACTGTGACATCCTAATGTTCTGAAAAATCACTTTTCTGGCCATAATTCAACGCCATAAATCAGGAACAAAAGGGAAGACATTTAGTCAGATAGTGAATTGGTGACACTAACTTTGGGTTTCCATCTTGAAACTTTGCTGACATAGTGGTCTTCTGTGCTGTCTGTTTGGAATGCATGTGTTGGAACTGCGGCGACAATTAATGTGACGCTCGTCCTTGAGTTTCACTTTTCATCATTGTGGTTTAACATGATTGGGGAAGGGTTCAGTTCAGCAGAACTGCTTGTGAAGGCTGTGTGACCACAGTGAGATTTTGACGACACTCTTGAATGTTTGGTGTGCAATGCTGCAGGCTGTCATGATGGTGAAAGTGCTTCTGCTCCCTCTGTGTTTCTTCTTTGCATCACTAACAGGTAAGAGAATGGTGTCAAAGGGTAAACATTCAGTGTTACGTGTCATTTGGTTTCATTGGACAGATAGCTAGATAGATAGATAGATAGATAGATAGATAGATAGACAGACCAACAGAGCTTATTTTACTTTATATACTGCTGGGTAGCTTGTGAATTCTGTCCTATAGGAAACAATAAAGTCTTATCTTAACACATAGTGATACATCATAATTTATTTTGTGATTATATTCTGTCGTTATTAATGTGAATCTGCAAAATGACCAGTTACTAAAGTCATCAAATAAATCTAGTGGAGGAAAAAGTACAAGATTTGCCTCTGAAGTTTAAGTAGCAGAAAAGGGAAATGCTCAGAAAAAGTACCTCAAAATTGTACTTGAATAGAGTACTTGTATAAATTTAGATCAAATCATAGATATTAAGCATCATGCAAATATTATATAATTTAAATTCTAAATGCATCAGAACATATCTATCTTAATGCACTGGACTCGTGCTGACTCCCACAAATGACTCATTTTCCGTCAAACTGAAATCACAAGATACCAAAAAATAAGGATGTGGTTAAGAACACAACTTCAACACTTTACAACCGCCAAGCACATGCTGTTTCACCAATGATCAGGGTATGAAATTAACAAAATATTTTGGGGGCAATTTTGGCCCCCACGGTCTAAAAAATGGGGGCATTTTCAAAATGTTTGGGGGCCATCAAAAAATTGTAATTATGTTCTAACAATAAGCATATGAAAAGCAAAACCAACTAAGATAGTGTCTTCACTCTTCAGTAGAAACCACTATAAATGAAATAAATAATGGGTTACATAAACTTATGGTTGCAAAATATCACTCAGATTTCCTATAATTCAACCAGTTTAAATGTGATGATTTAACCATTAATCTACTGATAGCAGTACTAATGTTTCACCACATTACACTTACTTTTACTGTTAAAAAGGCCAAATTACTATACATTCCTTAGATGCAATCCTGGAAGTAAGTTAATTTAAAATTTAACATTCATTCTACCTTAATTTTTCATTAATTTGTCTTTGTGTAGACACAGATCACCCAAGAAATGGTTAATTTATACTTATGGTACAGCAAAGCCCCCTCCCCTTCTCTGTCAGATTACTCTCACGTAATCAGTGCAATCTCGTTGATTATGTCTGGAAAATGAGTTGTAGACGTGACAGTAAATTAATTTAATAAAAATAAAATTATACTTCTTATACTAATTATACTACTAATGTCAGATTGTAATACTGTTAAAAATATAAATACATATAGTTGTTTCAAAAACTTGGGGGCAATTTTGGCCCCCGGAACATGGCTTTTAGGGGCATTCTTGGATAAATTGTGGGCCAAATGGCCTGTGGCCCTTGCTAATTTCTGACACTGCCAATGATCCAGTATGAGGTGTTACCAGAGCAGACGGTAATGATATCCACAAACAAGTTCATGTCAATTTTACAATATACACTCAAATTTACAACACTTGTTCACAGGTGTGTGTCCTCAGAGACCCAAAGACGTAAATGTCAAGGCAGGTGAGATGGTGGCGCTGTACTGCCGCCCTGACAGGAGGAATAATCATGGCGATGCTGGAGTGATCTGGAGAAGTTACACCACCCAGGAGATGAATTTGACCGCCATGTCATCAGCTGAGCAGGTGCAGATGGACCTGTTGGTTCATGGGAGGAGTCTTGTCATTCTCAGTGCTTCTATAAAGCATCAGGGGAACTACTCGTGCTCTCAGGGGTAAAGTCCAACAAACAATAAACAACATTCCTCTATTACAAGGAGGCAAAATTCCATGAAACCACATCTAAACTGTTTTTATTCCTGAGACTGACATTGACCAAGACTAAAAGTGGCATAAATAGTTCGGGCACGTAAACAGGATTTACTCCAGAGGGATTATTTTGGTCAAGATCACTGATGAATAAGGTTTTACATTAGTAATTTCTATCAGTAGCGTAGTGGATAGTGCCGCCGCCCCATGTATAGAGGTGATGCCTCGC